CCTGGGAAGGTAGGCACTCAGAGTGATAAATCAACTTAATTTACAGGAATACTTCTAATGGACATCTGGGTAAAGGTTAAAAAATAAAAGGAAAAAAAATTCCCATCTCCCGAAAACCAAAATAGATGAGAAAAAGTTATAGGATTGAGACAAAAATTGAGTTATCACCAAGATTTATCTGAACCCCCTCGGTTTGTCCCTGTGAGTAGTAACCAGCTTAGTCTAGGGTCTTCAAACCTGAGGTAGTTAAGGGTCACCTGAAAGACAGTGGGTCTGGACACGTGGGTACTCTGCTCTCAGCACTGGGCCCAGCAGTAACCAATAGATCTTCTGTATTGCTTTGGCTCCTGGGGTGAAAGGCAGCGTACCACATCAGCGGGTGGTGGTATAATAGTTGGTTTGGACCTGGGAAATAATGGAAGTCCTCAGCAAATAGCTGGAAAGATTTGCTGGGTTTGTGTGAAAGACAAAGAATCTGGCAGACCCCGGTGTTATATCGATCTCTACAACAGGCAGTGTGGGCTTTAGAGGGGTTGGAGACAATAGGGCCAGGGAGGCCTCCGCTGGAAGGCCGATGTGGGGACCAAAGGCTTAATCAGCAGCGAGGTTTTTCTGATTGATTTGGAAAGGTAATGGCAACAAAGCATGGTGAAGATCAGGCAGGGCAGAGACATTGGGCTCCTGTGGGTTTAGGTGCTGGCCAGGAGGTAAGCATTTCTTTGGGCTGGGAGTTGGAAAGGCCAGTGGAAAGTGACATGGCCAACGTGGTAGTTATTCCTCTGAAGCCAAGTGCTCAGTTTGGCAGCTGAAACAATTCCAAGAGGAGCAGCTTAGGCCAACACGTGGTAACTCCAGCTTTGGGTCTAAAGTCGCAGTCCTAATTACATGGAGGATTGGGAAATCTAGGCAGAACCATCGACATCTAATCTAATTGAGAAAGTTTACCTTTGCTTAAAAGTAATTGTAGAATAGATCAACCCCTGCTACAGAAGGTCACTCTTGCATATTCTCCTTTTCACAGGTGCACACACACTCTGCAGGTACCAACGTACTGTACAGTTCACCGTCCTCAGTCTCTATATGAATTCCCCTCCCAAGAGCACCTTGTTCAACTAACCAAGTTCAGCAGTTTAGTAACAGTTAACAAAGTTCACTCGGCCCCAAAGGCTTTCAGATATTCCAACCACACTCCATTTTGAGAGTAAGCAGGATGCCTGACATTCTACTCTGGCTAACATACTTTTACTTGGGGCTTTTAGAAAGTAGTTTTACATCAGCATCTCGCGGTTGATTATTGTCTTTTGCTCTCAAAGAAGACCAAAATGGCATCACGACGTTGGGGTCAAGGTAAAGCATGTCTGCCTGTGGCCAATCAGACCAATACGAGCTTGGAAGGTTCTACCACAGGGCAGGCCCAAATAATCCACATGAACGTTTGGAGTGGAGATGTCTTTTAACTTTGTA